CAATGTCAACGTTGCGGCGGAACATTTTCTGTTGTCCTATCGTGCCATCTTCCGGGTGAGCAGCGTCGGAGACGCAACTCATGGGGGGTGCGAACGGACTGCGATGCCTTGTCAAGTTCTAAGGTGTCACTATAAGAGCTGTGAGCAAGACCGTGTAAAGTGCAAGAGAAGGGGGCACGCTACGCGTCCCTCGACTCTAAGGGGGCACGCTACGCGTCCCTCGTCTTTACCTTTCTATGTGACCGCCCACGCAACGTTTGGCTCAAGTCAATGCCCATAGCTAAGTGCTATAAGTGTCTTCTATCCTGAGCAATCAGAGCTATCCCGTTGCACAGACGAACCGCCGCCGGCAGTGAGTGCAAAAGGAACGGCCGCCGGTTCTGCCTGCATAGGATTGCACGTGTGGAAGTGTGAGAGAGACAGGGTCCAGTCTGTGGAGAGTGCAAGCCAGCCACACCTATATTCATTACAGCTCTGGTGGGGAGAGCAGCAACATAGTCGAGATCAATCCCCCACGCAGTTAGTATTGGTATTATTATACATTATTATCAATATGAATATGGTTATTGATATGCGTAGGAGTACTAAGAGCAATACTAATCAATCTTAGTATTTGTGTTATGCATATTCGTACTAAGCTTTATAGAAGTGTAATATTAGTAGTAATGCTGGTATTAGCTTGAGCATTCAACAAATGATCAATGTCAGTATGTTCAATGGCAATACTATATGTAGGAGTATCAATACATATATGTATATATAGATATACAGATAGATAGAGAGATATTCGTGTAAATATGGGCATGAGTATTGACAGCCCTTGCCTTTGCAAGTAATCTGGTCCGATGCGGAGACTAGCACGACAAGGCGCGCGGGTGTCCTACCAAGAAAGGAATTACAGAGCACACGTGTATGGATGAGGGTTGTGCTGATACACTACATAGTAAGCACTACACAGTAATCTTACTTGAGTCATATATAGAACAGATTCCAGCATTTCCAAAATTTCCAAAATTTCCAAAATTCTCTCCCCTAACTTTCCGCATTTCCAAAATTTCCAAAATTTCCAAAATTTCCGAAATTTCCAAAATTTCCAAAATTTCCAAAATTTCCAAAATTTCCAAAATTTCCAAAATTTCCCGACCTAGTCGACAGGATTTTTCCAAAACATAAGGGCGGACTTTTTGGAAATTTTGGAAATTTTGGAAATTTTGGAAATTTTGGAAATCCGGAAAGTTAGGGGAGAGAATTTTGGAAATTTTGGAAATTTTGGAATTGAGGCTTTGAAAGCTGAGTGCCCCCTCCCCCCGATCAGACCATGCACTACGACTGAGTCGAAAGGGCATGGTCTGTCATGGGGGGGGGGGTGACCATATATATATATATATATATATATGTGCGCATGTGTGTGTGTGTGTGTGTGTGTGTGTGTGTGTGTGTTTGGGTCGTTTGACTTGGCACAGCGCATCGCCTTCTTCCAGGCACGGCCGTCGGCTAGTGGACCGCTTCCAGTTTGGTCACCCAGCACTCGTGATCTGGCGCACTGTCCCAAGGCTACGGCGGTGTGCAGATTCCTCAAGTCCTTCCGCCTCTTCCGTCGCATGAAACGGAGGGATGAGAAGGCGCTGCAGCCGGAAGCCCGATGCTGCTCAGCCTGCTCAGCCCTCTTCCTAAGAGGAGCGTGGCCGTCCAGACGGATCGGTCTCTGTTCGAAGCACACCCGAATGTCATGTGCTACTCCGGACGCGGGCTGCACTATGTCTGCGCAGCACCTTGCTGCGTATCCTAGGAAGCATTGATGCGGCTGAACCAGCGGATGCACGGGTCGAGCTGCGACTCTGTGACCACGCCACATTTTTTGGAAGATGGAGAGTTGTGAAGCGGTTTATACAGCTTTACCCATAGGCCCTAAACCCTAAACCCTAAACCCATAGTAGTTGCTTTGGGGGCTCATATTTTGAGTAAAGCTACTCTGGGGCCCTTTGGGTAGATTGTACTGTTCGAAGCTTCTCTAGTACCTTCACCCTAAAGGGAACTCCAGAAAGTTGGAATATGGTTTCAGGGTAGGATACCCTATAATTTACCATAAAGGGCTTAGGATAATCATATTCCAACTTTCTGGCTTCTACTGTAAGGGTCCAAGTATCTAATTATCATAAACTCCCCCCAAATAGTCACCTACATATCTACTATCCTAAGCCCAAGTACCTGATTATTGGGTCCTCTGGACCCTTGGGGTCATAAACCTTGTCCTTCACTCCCACTCCGGAGACGCACCACCTGCAAACGCAGCAGTCCTAGTTTCCTAGGGCTTACAGGGTTTAGTTTTGCGAAATCCGGTAGTTTCCTGGGGTTTGTAGGGTTTGGGTTTGCGAAATCCGGTAGTTTCTTTGGGTTTAACAGGGTTGTGGTTTGCGAAATCCGGAAGATGAATCTACCATTCCGAAAAAGAAGAGACAAGAAGAACACACATCCCAAAACACCGAAACCTAAGCCCTAGTGAATCCGCAACCACAGGCATCAGTACAGCTTCGTTTTTGGCCCACCGAGTGTTGGCAAAGTGCCTGGTTCGCAAGTTCGGATCCTTTTCTTGGGGGTTCTATGACTTCCGGAGTGCTTTAATTTCCCTACGGGTCCAAGTATGTAGTCCTTATTTTTTGGGGGACCCAAAATGTACCCAAAGTGCTGTAATAGGGAGTACTTGGACCCTTAGGGTTAGGCGCAGGGGGTTTCGTGCTAGGGCAGGTTCGTTCAAGCATCGGAGGGCTCGACTAAACCCTGAACCCAGCCCCTAAAACCCCTGAACCTTAAACCTTAAGTAAGGATGGTACCTCAAATTGTCATAGGATCCCTAATATGACTTACGGTAGTTTCCTTAATTAAGGGATATTGGGGTCTCTGGGAACTGGAATCCACAGACGACTCAGCCTTGCGAACTCAATGTGTGAGTATGCTTTCAACGGTTTAGGGTTTAGGGTTTAGGGTTCAAGTCCACCACTAAGATCCTTAAGCGAGGTCAGTTCAAGGGTGGAGGGTACAACTTCGCCAGTACTCGGGGGACTTGGGATGACTAGGACCTATAGGATAAATAATATCGAAGCTTCAATAATTTCCGATAATATTCCTTAGATTTCCTTATGATAACTATAAGATAAAAGAGCCCTTGTATTACCTCGCGGGGATCCCCGCTCCTTCATGTATCTTATGCGTCCCATGTCCACTATCCGGCCATGCAAGGCCACGGTTTAAGGTTTAGGTTTAGGGTTTAAGGTTTAGCTGTAGCTGAAAGACTTACTTTTTAGGGTTCCTTATTATGGTTTCTATATATAGTACCTCAAAAAGGTGGGTCTTTTCGGCTACAGGTAGGGTGTGGGGAGCTCTTGAAAGCAATCCTGATACCTAAAGACTAACTCGACCCAGGTATCCCGGCAAGCTGCTGAGGAAGAGGCGGCAAGATTTAGGGGCCAAAAAAGCACATAAGCATAAGCATGTTATAAGGATATCCCTACCTTAATGGGCCTCATTATAAGGGGGTTTATATGGGATATCCCTATCCTAATTTTGCTTATGTGCTTTTGGGGGGCCCTAAAGATGGGTAGGTCTAGGATCACTATCCCCACGAGTCAGAGTACCGAGTAGTATCCATCTACTCCCCCTCCCCCCCTCCAAATAACCTACCTAGACTCTAAACCCTTAACCCCAAATACAAAACAACTATGAACCCTCCACCCTTAGCCCCAAATACCTAAACTCTAAACCCTAAACCCCAAATACCGTTCCAAACTCAAGCTTCTGAGCTTTAGGTCCTTTGGACCTGTAGGGGATGGGCCATGACCAGGGGATCTCTTTGGTTGTATTCATTACTCAGTAGCTGAGTGGCTACACTTTATATTCACATTTTGGGCTAATATCACCCACTACAAAACTAAAAGTGTACACTTTTGGGAGCTTATGAACTCAGCAACTAAGGTTAAGAGGTGACTGTTGTTAGGGTTTAGCGATTAACGGGTTTAGGGGTTTACTGTTTAGGGAGTTCGGGATTAGGTGTTAGAGGTTTAGGGTTTAGGGTGGTATCCAAGACAATCGTTCAAACGGCTTGGGATACAGGCATAGATAAGTGACGTATTAGGGGCGGGCTTGTTGTCTATGCCTGAGGGACATTAGGCTTTAAGAGCCGATTCCACTTGATCTCACCGATCATTTTCTACCATTTGCTTGGTCACAACTAGAAGAAGCGAACAAATGCTCGCGCCCACGTTCGTTTTCCCCTCGTTGCTCGAGCTCACCAGTCGCCAGCATTCGATTTCCGAACCCAGCGTGCACCAATGTACGCGCTATAGCGGTACAGGACCTGAGACCCTAAATCAGCAGGATGGCAAAGCGCACCCAGCATTTTGATTCGGCCGACCTAGGCTTCAGAGCAAAATTTCTTATCTTGCAGTAGAAGTGTTGGTCCAAAAAACGAAACCATGTATATAAGAGCAAGCGTCTATGTCCTCGTCGGCATAGGTCGATGTACGCAAAGGCGAAGTCACCAGCACTTGTTCGTAAACCATGTGTTCAAGCCTCATGTGCCCCGGTGCTGGATGTGCCACGATTGGAGGAGCTTGCTGAACGGGGAAAGCTTGTTATATCCGAGGCACACATGCATTTTCGGACGAAGTTTCCATAAGATCTTGTTGCGGTTGTACGCATCCAGGGCACAATCTGGGATCGATTAGGGTATAGCGTCTAATTGCCTGGGGAACGATCGACTTCGATGGTCTTATGTGCAGCTTCGGAGCAGTTGTAAGCTGATCGATAGAGCACATAATGATTCTGCATTTCTGTGACGTTCTCATGCGGGACGTGAAACTTGTGACCAGATAAACACTCCCGCATCCCAGCCAAGTTCACAAAGATAGCTGCCATATTCCTTGGACACGAGATGAGCCTCTATAACAAAATTTCAGATCTCAATCCCGACTATTAGGATCGATCCCAGCTGCTCCCAATACGGATCAGGAGCCCTCCGGCTCGCCAGCTCCACGGTCACATATCTCAGCCACTTGACCATAACGATTGACTCCTGCATCGGATCCGGGTCGAGGTGTTAGGTCCAGGTGTTAGACTAGGCGACGAAAGATCGAAAAACTGAGTTCGCAGCTGCTCCACTCAAATGCTTTTGTGATAGCGTTGGGTACACGAGTGAATTTTGCATAGCCTTCAATGACTTCAAAGAAAACGTAGGCGCACGATTTCCTGAGCAGCTTCAATATCGTGTATCATGTAAGATGTACTAGATAGACTCTAGATAGACAGTATGCAGAGAAGTGGCTGATCTTCTCACGTTTGCAAGCAGCTGCAAAATCCGTATAGGCAGCTGCCAATCGAATTTCTTGGTTTCCACCAGCCCAGGGGCTATCCGCAGCTTTGGCCGTCAGTTCTAGTAAAGCCTGCGGTAAGGAAGCATAGAACGATCGGAACCATTGCATGCGTTCAATTAGCTATATTGATAACAAGACTCGGATGCACAGGCATCCGGTGACAGAGCCAAATCAACGACGTGCAAATAATCCTCCCAGATTCGTTCTATGGCGAAACCAGGGATTTGTATCCAGGGATTAGCACCACATTTGTCGCGGATGAAAACCTCTGTGCTGTAAAGCCTCGGGTCACACATCATTTTTGGTGGACAGAGCAGCACGACAAGTACCGAGTTGCGTCGATCGGTGCTGGGCAGAAGGTCCGAAATGCACATAGCCCAGCGGAGAATTGCCATCTTTCGTAGCCTAGTGCCGGGATCGTGCGACGATGGCATGGCATGTATTTCATATAAAGCTGAGTCACACCACAAGAACGGCAAACCTGTTGGGAAGTCCAATAATTCTCAAATTTGTAACATTTGTGAAGATAAACTTGGTCTCCTTTGTGCCCTGCGAAGACAAAACGAAAATCCCCTGCAATAGGTTGCCCAGCTCTTTGTGCCAACTGGGGCATGTAGTCGGCATCAAATTGGCGACCATACCAATCATGGTCAAGATATTTCCCTGCAGCAGCACAAACCAATCCCCAGCAAATCCAGCAATCGATTTCAGAAGCAGTTGATTCTCCAGCACTGTTGTTGTCGAAGCAGCTGAGCAAGAGCTTGTGATCCCAGGTTGATCCGCCTGTGAGGGCGCTTGAAACGGTACTAATCGAAAACGATCTTCTTTTGTGCATCTCTGCGTCGTCGCCGTGTATCTCGAGAGGTATCGTCCACATTAGTTGCTCGTTGCTCATCTTGGACAGCATCGGGTGATTTTTGAACCATGATGTATTACGATTCTTGGCCCAATACATTTCAAGATTCTCGTCTGCACTGGTCCCCAGCAGGACCGATTGAAAAATAGTCAAATCGTAGTCGAACAGACTTTTCAGCCTCGGACATTTCTGAATTTCAAAACTGCGAATCCAAGAACAATCATCAAACCAATAATGTCGAGCCAAGGCTCCAATCTGGTATGAGAAAGACCGCATGCTTGCCCAAGAAGAAAGGGTCGGCTAGCTTGCGATTCACCTCAAGGCCGATATCTTAAGAGGTCGGCGGTGTGATGTCGTGATAGCACATAATGCAGCTTGAATGCTTGGTTCACATCAATCCTGAGAATATGATATTGGCTAGGTAGCTCTTGTCTTTCAAGCAAGCCTTGATATGACGACAAGTATCAATGTGGGGGATGGTAAGCAGGCCATCCACGGTTGCCGACGAAGCCAGCATCTAAAATTTCGTTGAACATTGTGATCGCATTTTGTAGATTCTGCCAGATCTCGAAAAGATGGCCTAAGTCGGATGAGCAGCAAAGTCGACCCCATACTATTTGCCCACTAGCATCTACGGTGCAGATAAGCAGCTCAAGAAACAGATCAGGAATACGTTTGTGAACCGCTGCCACAAAATCTCTGATCGTATGCACAGACAGCCTTCGTGACAACTCCAAGAACTCCTCCACCATCCCATAGACATCCTGCTATCCCAGGTTTGATTCTACGATGCGGGAGGATTGGGTCGATCGAGGCACTCCTGGGCACATTTCTCTGGTGCTGGTTTTGAATATGACATAGCTCACATCGATCGAGGCTTTCAAGTTTCAGGGATCTGTACTGTTGATGATATAAATCCTGCATTACCTTAAGGACCCGAAACTATGGGAATTATGGTATATTCCTTATTATGGGTAATGCAGGATTTATATCATCAACCGTAGGACTCGAGGGTATATAGGTTCGTGGGACGTTGGATTGAAGGCCGGTGTAGGAAGTTGGGGATGGTTCAGAGGGTTTAGGGTTTATGGTTTTGGGGTTTAGTGGTTCAGGGTTTATAATAGGGTTTAGGCCAGCTTCTGGGGTTTAGGGATATTATATAGTAGTGCATAGGGTTTGGTGGCTTCAGGGCTCCAAGCGCTAAGGGGTATTGGGCTTAAGGATTTCGACCGGATTTTAAAGTTATGAGTTTCACGTACTCTACTCCGAGTACCGCTGCATGTGTACGGTCTGAGCCTCCAAAGCTTTTCGCATGAGCATGGATACATGCATACCGAAGATGTGCAGAAACTTGCACAACTGCAATGTGTATATCGACTCTCGCACTATCTTTTTAAGAGCGGCCACATCCGATATCGCGTGACGAAGCTAGGATCTAAGCTTTGACTTTACCCCATCAAAGCAACCCATCTTCGATAGGAACTGGGTGTGTGGCGCTACGCACATACAGTTTGCAGATCTGGAAATCCAGCACTTCAGGCACTGTGCCTTCGGCGGTTCGTGCTTGCATCCGAAGCAAGCCAATTAAAGCTTTCAAAAGCAGCAAACAAGAGGCATCAAGCCTAGGATCATCATGCCGCCTTGGCCTTCCGGCCAGACTTCTTGGCATCCGTTTTGGCCTTCTTAGGCTTTCTACGGTTTGCTTCCTTAAGATCGTCGTCGATTGAAACAGCCTGTGCCATGAACTTGTCATAGAAGGGCTTCAGCTGCTCAGCACTCAAATTCTTCTTGAAGCAGCCCTCGACCTCGCTGGTCAACGTGGGCAGCGAAGACTGAGTGGCTGTCAGGGCATTGACCTTGGATGGGAGTACCGATATTAAAACTGACTAGGGTTTCGGGTTTAAGGTTTCTTAGACGTATGTCACCTGAAAACTAGCTAGCATATTATATGTTAGCAGAGCACAGAACCTATAGAACTGACCATATAAGGCCCTAGCTAGATCTGCACAGTGCTTCGCCGAAGAAAGGTCCCGAAGTCGTTCGGTGATCTTCTCATCGAAGCTCTTGAACCTTCGAAGGGTTTTGTGTGCTAGGCTTTGGAATTTGGGGCTTGGGGGTGTAGGGTTACAGAGATAAGGGTCGATTATTTAAAGTCAGCCTAGGGGCTTTCTGATCAGCCCACGGTAATCCGAAACCATCTTCTCTTCTGCAGTCGTCTCCTTAGGCTCTTTCTTTGGTTTTTTTAGCTTGATCCTTCCCGTCTCTCGGTCGAAGTACTCCGTACCTTCCATGGCAGCCAATGGAGCTTTGATTTTCTCAGCGATGCTCTTCTTCGCAGCATCATCAGTAACAAGCCCTCCGACGGTGGTACTCGTCTCGGTTCGATTGGATCTGCGGCGTTCGTCCACCAAGAACCGAAGCACCCGATACATACGGGCTTTCTTCACGTTGGGAGCCTGAGGGTGGGCAACCCCCTTTTGTCCTCGGTAAAATGGTTGGTATTGTACATAATGACACAAGGCCCTAGATCTAATTTAAGCTAAACTTCCGGAGATGAGCTCGGCAATAAATTCTTGTGCATCAGGGGAATCTCCAAATTCCTTCTCTAGTTGCAGCACCGTCATGGTGACGTAGTGGTCCGACTCGGTATTCTCGACGATGCGTTTGTACCTTAAGCGTATAGCGCACAGACTTGCGGTTTTTGTTTTATGTGAGGTAAAGTTCAATCTAGGAACGACTCCTCCACACGGATGGCCCCAAGCTTGCCATCATTCAGCATCCATTCCTTGAGCATACCGAACCTTGCACGACAGGCTGCTTCGATGGGCATATGGGATGATTGCAGACTGAGGCTCAACCCAGGGGGTTTATGCGATCAGGGTTTAAAGGATTTAGGGTGCGTTTAGCTAGGGTATAGAGGATTTATGGCCTGACCAATACAATAGATCGATGTGTCTAATCGACATGGGTTTGGGAACTAATAAACATGGCATCGGATTAAGATCAGTGTTAAGTCTTCGATCCTTCGGGGTGCTAGCAAGCAACTTTGCATCATCATCAGATGCGTTCCATTTGGCCACCAATGCGGGGTGCATAGAGCCCTGACTCTTCAATTGGCGGCCGAGGGCGGCAAACTGTCGTTTGCGCTCAGGTCGGGGCATAGCCTTAGATAGTGCTACATGATATGCATAGACTATATAGGTACACCAAGCATTATCATACCGCGCAACAGAAGGTCCCGACATAGCCGAAAGTGCGGTTTTCTGCTCGTCAGTCAGTTTGGCCATTCTCCCCTGGTCGAGGGCGTGATTATAATATGCATTAGATTAAACAAGTTCAGCACTAAGAATCTGGCCTGTGCAGCCTTTGCAGTTGCTACCGGTGTCGGTGTTGCTGCTACCGGTGTTGGTGCCACGGGTGCTGGTGCCACGGGTGCTGGTGCCACGGGTGCTGGTGCCACGGGTGCGGATCCACGTGGACCATTCGGGGGGCTCGTGTCGTTCGATGCTGTGTGCTCCTCTGGGCTCTGCTTGTTTGCAGCTGGAAGTGCTTCAGTCTTCGCTGGTGCTGCTGCTGATGGATCCTTCGGGCTCGCGGCGTGTGCTGCTGCTGGGTCGTTGTCTGAAGGTGGGGCCGCTTGCTTTTCGACCTGAGAGTCTTCCTGTGAATCGAGGTGGATGCTGGCGACTGTCATGGTTCGCTCCATTTGGCTAAGCTTGTTGGGCTTGTCATCAGGCTTCCGGTATGTGTCGGCATCGAAGAACTTAGCTAAGCTCTCAGGGTTCAAGTCTCTGACAGGCTTCTCCTGGGGATGCTTTTCCGTGCTTTCGGGGCTGTCATTCTTCGGCCGAGGGGACGGGGTGTCGGTGGACACGGTTGCACGCTTCTTGGGTACGGGATTCTCCTCAGAGGATTCGGCTTTGCGCTTCTCGTGCGGCTCAGCGGTCGATGCCTTGTCTTTCTTCTCCTTTTTACCCTTTTTATCCTTTTTATCCTTTTTATCCTTCTTCTCCTTCTTGTCCTTCGTTGCACAGTTCTGCTCATTTAGCTCAATCTCGTCGGTCGGGGATGTCTTGGGCTCGGCAGTTGGGGCTGGCAAAGGTTCGGGTGTCTCCTCCTTGTCCTTCTTTCCACCTTTCTTTTCCTTCGGCTTAGGGGGTGCGACAGGCTCGGCAGTTGGAGCTGGCAAAGGTTCGGGAGTCTCCTCCTTGTTCTTCTTTCCACCTTTCTTCTCCTTCGGCTTAGGGGGTGCGACAGGCTCGGCAGTTGGGGCTGGCAAAGGTTCGGGAGTCTCCTCCTCCTTGTCCTTCTTTCCACCTTTCTTCTCCTTCGGCTTAGGGGGTGCGACAGGCTCGGCAGTTGGGGATGGCAAAGGTTCGGGTGTCTCCTCCTCCTTGTCCTTCTTTCCACATTTCTTCTCCTTCGGCTTAGGCTCGTCGGTCGTGGATGTGATGGGCTCAGCTGCTGGGGCTGCGGCGGGCAAAGGATCGGCTGTCTTCTTCTGATTATTCTCTGCACTCTTCTTCTGCTTATGTCTCCTTTTCGGCTCGGCAGCTGGGGCTGGGAGTGCCGGAGATTCACTTTTCTTGGCCGCGTCCCGGGCTGCCAACTTCTCCTTTGCAAGCTTCTGTTCCTGCTTCACCAGAAAAACAGCAGCTTCACGAACATTGCCCTTGTGGTTCGCCAATGCTTCGATAGCGACATCCATCTCGAACCCTAGCTTCTGAAGCTTCTGTATCTTTTTTTCATCGCTATCTCGGGACGGTTTGGCGGCAGGCTTACCACCACCGTTCGAGGGGCCAGGGCCCATTCCCAAGCATCCTTTCCTTAGATATACTACAGATACAGATCGATCGAAGTTTTATACTGTCCATCGTACTGCAGGTCTAATACATGACAAGACACTCTGCCCTCGGCATGATAAAGGCCTGCTTTTCAGGGGATATATGGATCGATTTAAAATACATAGTAGGTTCTACTCTATGCACGCATGCCATAGCCCGCACCTTGTGATCGTTCACCCACCAAGGCCAGATGCTACGCAGCAAAATGCTGCTACTTTGAGAGAAGTGATGCGACACGGGGTGACACGAACAGTAGACAGGACCATCTTATCTTCAGGGGGGGGTGACACGGCGTGACACGCTAGTGACACGCATCCTCTCTTTCGAATCGTTCAGCACTTTTTGTATCGTGGTGAAGCCACACATCGATCGAGCACTGTACACACGCTAGCAGCACTAGGAGTTTACTTCTTCCATCCAGCAGAACCATGGATTAAGTCATCTAAGCAATCATCATCACTGCCACCATCGCTCAAATTCTCAAGTATGTCGGTAAAACCCGGCAGGTCGCGCGATGCGGATGCTGCAGATCGAGCGTCTGCAAACCTCAGTGATCCAGGGGAGGGTCTGGACTTTGGGTCCATTCGGGTTGCGATTATTGAAAGCCAGTAGACAGCTTAGCGATCGTCATCCCGAAGCTCGCAGTATATTCTTGGCTTCCTCGAAGATCTTTGCCACCGGCCTGGGATTCCCGGGCAGAAAGCCATACCCTGAATCCATCTGAATCCTACACCCCAAACCCTAAATCCTTAAACCCTAAATCCTAAACCCCAAACCCTCAACCCCAAACCTTAAACCCTAAACAATTGATTTACGGTTTAGGTGTTTAGGGGTGTAGGGTTAAAGCGCTTTAAGCCCACAGTCGTTTGTATGATAGGATCGGGAAGCTTTTATTCAATAGAATATTTGTGGAATTCAGCCTATGGGTGTATGGTTAGCACCAGTAACCCCTAAGATTATCGATGCCACCATGCCGAATCTGAATCGCAAAGGCAATTCACATAGGCCTATATATAGCTGATATCTAGCACAGTCTAGTGCGGCTGGGCTGGGGGTTCCTTGGACGGCTACGGATAACTTGGCCGATCGCTCTAAGTGCCATGCGCAAGCTCGCGAGGGTTCAAGGGCTTACACAGTACGTAGGGTTTCCCGACCGGCTGGTCAATATTTATATAGGGTATTATAATTATTAGGGTTTACCTTTACGATCGGGGCCTGGGTGCCAAGATGGGGCTAGTGTAGCCGAGTGGGCTGTGGATAGTAGCATAGATTATATGTCGGGGTAAACTAATTAAAACTAACATATACCCTCGATTGCTTTAAAAATTAATATATAACCCTAAACCCGGACCCTAAAACGCCAACTGGTAGAGTACTATGAGGAATCGCGTTTAGGCAACTCGCGCAATGCAGCACACATGATTGATCCGCCGGAGTGTCAGATTCTCATCATATGGCAGATCGCGACACACGTGACAACGTCACTGGATATATTGCGTGCAGGTTGTTTGCCAGCTCCGCTCTCCAGTGGAAAGCTAGGGTACTAGACAAACCACGT